GCAGGGATGTGAGGATGCAAAGATGTGAAGATTAAGGGATGTGAGGATGCAAAGATGTGAAGATTAAGGAATGTGAGGATGCAAAGATGTGAAGATTAAGGGATGTGAGGATGCAAAGATGTGAAGATTAAGGAATGTGAGGATGCAAAGATGTGAAGATTAAGGGATGTGAGGATGCAAAGATGTGAATATTAAGGGATGTGAGAATGCAAAGATGTGAATATTAAGGGATGTGAGAATGTAAAGATGTGAATATTAAGGGATGTGAGAATGCAAAGATGAGAAAATGAACGAATGTGAGGATACAGATATCCTGAGATGTGAGGGATGCAAAGATGTGGGAAAGAAATGACGTGAGGATGCAGGGATGCTGAGATGTGAGGAGATGCAAAGCTGTGAAGATGAAAGAATGTGAGGATGCAGGGATGCTGCGAATAAGGATGCAAGGATAACTTACATTTTGTACTGTCTTTGCTTGCTCATCAGCAGTTGGTTGCTCAACATCTGCATGTTATGTCTGTGCTCCAGCAAGATTTGCTTGCGTGCTCTGCAACACCATTGAAATGACACACGTTAGATCCATGGCTGGTACACACAGGCCAGCACTAGAGAATTCCTAATCAGCACGACCATGCATACACCCCAGTAAATTATGTATGTTTTTGCTGTTAGTGATGGCTACACCCAACATTCTAGATGTCAGTAGGTGTAAGGTATAAACCCCTCAGAATAACCTGCACATGTAGATATACTGGTTATTCGCAACATATATATACCTGGAGTAATTTATATTAACCAGAAATAATTCCCCGGTGATCAAAAGAATGTTCACGAAAGACAAAAGCAGAAAGCGAGAATCAACAATATCTTGCTAAATGTTACAGCCAACTACTTTCTCCCATCAGCATAGCATCAGAAGTCATGAAATCATCTCGAACAACTATGTGCCGGTTACGGGCACATCGATCCAAACAGATACCAGTCCCTGCACGAACGCACAAACCACCAATACACTGAAAGGGTCTGCCTCTCCTTGGGTACTGTCTGAGCACACTAATAATGATAACCTTATAACATAGCCAGCATCCAAACCTATCCCTACCCTAACCCCTACCTAATTGTAATGCTTACCACAACCTCAATCTAAGCCTAACCATATATCTAAAGTATCTCCCCAGGTGAGTCCAGGGAGACACAAGCTGTTTTATAAATCACGCTTACTCGTCGTCAAGTCCCATCTGTATCTCCATCACCTTGGTGACGGCGCTGTCCTGTTGTTCCAACAAGGCTCTCTGCTCATCCTGTGAACTCTGATAGTCGGTTTGCCATCGCTGTTAGACAATGACATCATGTTACAGAGTGTGAAGCTTAAACACAGATATGTAATCAAGCGTTTGTCCAGGAATGACTATTTGTAATATAAATCATATAAAATATGGAATCTCTATAAACAACTTATAGTTGGATAGAAAACTAACAATACAGGTATATTCCCTAACCAGCTCCATTACACACTGATGCTAACTCAGAGCAAACCAGCTAGAAAGCCTAGTGTGCGTCACAAGATATACTCTCGACTCCCTATCCAATATAATAATTACTATCATATTAATGAGAAAATGCAGATACATCATAAAGTGTCAGGAGAAACTGTAAGCATTCGCCTTACTTCAGACTGCACGCATTGAGTGACGATTTTTTTCTCCAAGAGTTTTGAAATACAGCGCTACAAACGACACTGCTAGGCAGACGCTCTCTAGCAGGAAAACCTACCCTCTGTCTCTCGCGTAGACCGTCCTGCAGTATGGTGCTATATTGCTGTCTCTCCGCCTCCTTAGCTCCTGCATGAAACAACAACAGCAACTGTTCACACACGCGTGGCGCGCTACCTACAACAACGCTGCACGACTACATTATAAGGCATTCATAAATCTGTCATTAACCAACGACCAGTACTAGTACTGTTACACCTGTGGTTACGAAAGTAAAGCTCATGTTTATCACGTCATCTTGGTTATAATAAATACAGAGGGAGATATTATAATAACAGGATGCGAAATTAACGGGAGTCCAGAGTCAAATACTCCCTGATTCACTGTCGGACTCCCTGATTTGACATATGCAGGAGTCCGTGTGACTCCCTGAAAATCCTGCCATACTAACTAATTCGTTCTAGAGCACGGCCTCACGGAATTACCGTATTTTTTCAGCTAATATCCAAAGAAAATTTGGCAGACGTGCAACCGCATGCATCTTAAAAATAAGCACATGCGTTATTGTTAATATCTTTAATTTTGAACCTCAGACTGCGGACTCCCTCATTTTTCTGCGGACTCCCGTGTTCAAAAGTTAATTTCTACCCCTGTAATAATCCAGTTGGATAAGATAAGATAAGATTAGATTGGATAATGCGTACGGGTGAAGTTGCGCATGTATGTCAGATGCATCTGGATTAGGCGTGTGACGTCGGCTGAGGGAAGAGCCAAGCTGTCCTGCAGCTTATTAATGAATGCCTCATCTATCATCTGCAGCTCCCTGTCTCTGTCCGACTTCACCTCCTAGAGAGAAATACCACGAAGACTGAACATTACACGCACGCACGCACGCACGCACGCACGCGCGCACATACACACACACACACACACACACACACACACACACACGCACACACACGATGGGATGATGGATGCGTAGATAGATGGATATTAAAATTCTGATTACAGCGATCACTACTATTACACTGATATACTTATACTTATACTACTACTACTGCTACATTACTGTGATGATACTCATAATAATGACTTTGAAGATGACGACAAGGGCACGTCATTAGAGCACAAGTTATGATGTTTGTTTAACAAGGCATTGGGAGCATTTCTGAACTGCCAGCACAATGCTGGCACCATAAACACCATAATTTTTTTTGTTTTTGATAAATTTTGATTTTTTTTTTTGAAAATGGAAAAAAAAGGGTCAGCCCCTATTTGCTAGGTAGGGTCGGGTTCTCGGAAACACATCTTTTTTTTAGGCCTGAACAGCAGTATTAGGGTGGTTCTTACCATTAGCATAGCTGCCATCTCACGATGCTCGGATTTGTCAGTGTCATCATGGAACTTGCTCATCTTAGAGTTTTGCTTCAGCTCAAAATCCTGATAAGCCTTCAATCAATCAATTAGTTCTTACTGCACCATTACAATGGGAAATAACTAACAGAGGAAATGACATGATAATTATTACAATATAAATATATATATATGTATTTTGATATATATGAGACTATCATGCACGAAAAGTCTAGTTACAGGTGTAAACAACTGATAAGGGAAGAATGAAATGAACAAGAAGTAATTGCAGTGACAAGTACATTATATTAAAGATTGGCAATCACCAATCATTATTTTCACAAGACATTCTAAAAGACGATGCTTGGCAATGAGGTGCCGTAAAGTCGTCATTTTGGCGTGCAAATGTAAAATCACAAAGAAACTGGTCTAGCTTGAGGAACCTAGCAACAATATGGGAATTTTTTGGGGGAGGGAGGTAACTTGCTCAAATAAGTAAAGGCCAGTTGCACGAAGAAAAGATATATCAAATTCTTCTCAGTAATAAGGAAAGGTTGCAATCCACGCACACACGCACGCACGCACGCACGCACAGACCATTTGTTAAGGAAGCTCTTATCTAGACAGCTAACCTCTGCCCCTAAACCCCATCTCTAAACTTGACCTTTAACCTCTATCTCTAACCTATACATCTCATCTAGATCCTCTACCCTCAAAGTCAAAGCTCTAACTCTCAGTTCCACATTAAACTTCTAACCCGAACCTCTTACTTTTACTTCTAACCTGTAATTAAGGTGATTACGTCACCGTAAATAGTAAAAATACAAAAAATATTTCCACTTTTTCACAAAATATAAGTAATTCTGTTCACTTTTCATGGTTAAATTGCTGCATTATACTTCTTATTTTACTATATTGTTTGATGTGAACATACACTCGTGACTCATACATAGCCCATAGCAATAATGTCCTACATAGCCCATAGCAATAATGTCATACATAGCCAATAGCATACAAGCAATTAATGTCAGGAACACAATATCAAATCGTCCAGGTTTTTTGGATTTTTAACTAGTTGAGAAACAATCTTATCAGGTAAGAATTTGACAATACGTTTAGTCCCGTTAGTTCTTACTTTTAATGTAAAAAAATTGCAACAAAAATTTTACAAATTTTACCATAGAAAATTCGTGACGTAGTCAATTTAAGGATGCATTTATCGCTGTCTACCTTTAGTAATTCGTCGGGTTGTGTAAGCTTCTCAGCTCGTACGATGAAACTCTGTCTCTCTCCTGCCTGCGACTTCTCTCTCTCTGCCATCCGCTCTGCTCTCTTCTGTTGCAGATGGTCTGTCAATGCAGCCTGCTGCTTCAAAAACCCTGCAGTAGACGACATCGACCATTATTATTACCATGTACTTTCTTTAATATTCTCCCCCTCCTCTTCATCATCATCATCATCTTTGTCACAGCCACTGCCATTTTCCTTCTCCTGCTCCTGCTCCTCTGCCTTGCACTCTTCTTTCTCCTTCTCCTTCTCAACACTTTCATTGCCATCGTCATCATCATCCTCACTGTCATCATCATTGCATCATCATCCTCACTGTCATCATCATTGCATCGTCATCCTCACTGTCATCATCATTGCATCGTCATCCTCACTGTCATCATCATTGCATCGTCATCCTCATTATCATCATTATCATCATTATTATCATCATCATTATTATCATTATTGTTATCATCATTATTTATTATTTCATCAGATGACATCGTGATGACTCACCAGCCTCGTGTTTTTCATTCAGTCGCCGTACATTGCGTTCGTATTCACCGATGAGCGCGTCGACCTTTCCCCTGAGGTCAAAGTTCGTCGCCGCGAGCTCGGTAAGAGCCGCCTTACGCGCGGCGATGTTCGCCTGAACTTCCTCGCTCTGCTGCGCCCTCTTCTGGCTGCCGAGTTCGGCCACCAGGAGGCGCTCCGATAGCCGCTGCTGAATCAACTATTACGAAACGAAAGGGTGGTGAAGTTCTCGAATGGCACTTTTAATTATTATCTTATTATACATTATTACGAATATTACGACTATTACGAATTATTAGAAATAGTACGAACATTACATTATTACAACTATTACGACACGAAAGGGTAATGAACCTCTCGAAGGAAACTTTTAAATATTAACTCGTTATATGTTAGTGCATATATGTGGTCCATTAGCAGATTCGCGTTAACGAAACGTGAAAGTTACGTCTCAGAAATGAGCCATTGCTGCTTTACGCAGACCATTTCTTCCAGCAGAACTCACTTAAATTGTATACGTACCCGATACACCACATGGTAATTAAACTAAAAACAACATACTTTATCGACATTATTATTCATATTACTGCCTGTCAAACCGTTGCAGGAGATTGCACACACTAGTGCAGAGCACCTAATTATGTAGCAGAGCTTTTCTGGCACACACCTGCGACTCTCTTGCGTATTTCGCCGAGAGAATCTGGTCTATACTAGTGGCTCCCCCTGCAAAGCTGCCCATGACATCGTTCGCCTGAAAGAATTGATGTTAAATTCACGGTAATGAAATCTAACCATAATTCAATAGTTTGCTCATAACTCTGAGAACATTAAAAATTGAAATTTATGACAGGAGGCCACTGTATATTTTTTCCCTTTTATCTGCCATTATGTTGTTATAGCAACGAGCCATCTGCATTTTCCATTTGATAGTGATAATTTAAGTGATAGTTCAGGAAGCAGTTAAAGTCGGGTTGAAACTCAACATTACGAAGACAAAGTCAATGAGGATAAACGCACAAAATTTAGACGCAGTCTCTGTCGAGGGGGAAGAAATTGAGGATGTGGAGGCCTTCACCTACCTATAGGTAGCGCGCTGGACAAAAACGGAGGGGTCGAGAAAGATGTCAAGGACAGAATAGGGAAGGCAACGGTTGCATTCAAATTGCTCAACAACGTTTGGAAGACAAGTGCTATCGCCCTCAAAACTAAATTAAAAATTTCCAAATTCTAATGTTCAGACCGTACTTATGTATGGCTGTGAAGCATGAAAAATTAACAGCCAAAATAATCCAAAAAATTCAAAGTTTTGTTAACAAATGCTTGAGGAAGATCCTCGGACTATTTTGGCTGCGCACACTCACAAATAAAGAACTCTGGGAAAGGACGAAGCAGACACCAATGGAAATCCGAATGAGAAGAAGGAAATGGGGCTGGGTGGCCACACACTGCGGAAGGAAGCGACCAACATAACAACCCCGGCGCTGAGCTGGAACCCGCAAGGAAGACGTCGGGTAGGAAGGCCTAAAGTAACCTGGAGGCAAGCCTCGGAGGCAGAACTCAAGAAGAAGGGCTAGAGCCTACACCTGGAGGTAAATGGAGCGGATGCGACCAACCGAGCAACATGGAGGGAGTTCGCAAACGACCTATGTCACCCAGCAGACTGAAGGCTTCCAGAGAGAGAGAGAGAGAGAGTGATAATGTGTGTACCTCGTTTTCTGATAGCATTGCGGTTTTCACCAGATCGCGTCTCACGTTGCTCTCCTCTTCCTTTATGAGAGAATTCTATAATAGAGCAGCAATTTGCTTGTGAATAGTGTGTCTGCTCAATGACACAGCCATCACTTCAGATGGATCGAATCACCATGAAAACACTGATATATTTTTATATACACATACACATACAAAACGCATAAATCAATATATTAACTTATTTATTATACTATTTTATATGTTACCCCAATATTATTACTTAACATACCTTTGTAAAGAATATATACCTTCTTATTGTAATTTTATAACATGAAAACATCTATAGAAATAAATATATTTATATAATAGTTATAATATACATATAATATAAGATTATATAAATATACATATAATTAATACAAATATTGTACTAATTTTATACATGTATGTGTATGTAGATGCATAGATATATGTTCATGATAACAGTAACTTTATCATTTTAATGGCCAACTTAGTAGTGAACGTGTGATAGTCTATTATCATTATGTATAATAATTAACCCTAAACCACATAATAATTATGTTCACTCTGTGTGTGCATGCGTGCGTGCGTGCGTGCGTGCTAGGACACACAATCAATCAATCATCTGGCACACACAATCAATTTCATATGTAATACGGCACTACCTATGGGCAGCCAAGCGTGCCTGACATAGCTAATGATATATATACGGCTACAGAGATGAGTGTACCAGGTACCAGCGCTGCAGCTGTGTGCGTACTATCACTGGTGCTGTACATAAAAATCAATACCACAAAACCTATTAATGTAGGTCTTTTGATATCGTACAGCTATAGCAGAGAAACGATCACAAGCCCGTATTCTCCCGCCATATCAACTCACTGGAACAGCCGACCTAGCTACTTACAGCCGGTAACTCCATATTATAGAAACTAAAATATCACCAGATAGTCACAGAGAAGATATACATGGTCAGAATGATTGATTGGTGCACATGCACATGCATGAGATGCTTGCATATGTGTGCTTTGGGTGGATGCGCACGCCTGTGAGTGGTGTGAGTGCTCGTGTTCATGCGTGTGAGTAGTGTGAGTGTTTGTGTTCATGCGTGTGGTGGGTATATACTGACATCAGGGCCGGTGGCTGTCATTGCCTGCGTACATTTTTAGCACGGCAAAATGTTTTTAATCTAGCTCAGTAATGTCACGAGATGGACACAGTTACACTCAACACAGCGCGAGACAGGGTGGGTGTGGGCAGAGGGTTTCACAGATGACTATATTGCGAATTACGCATATTTTCGGGTCATTTACAAATTAGGTGTTTATTTTATTTTCCTGTAAAAGCTAATGTGACTCATGCCCCTTGTCGACCCCCTAGAGGCTATAGACCTGGATACAGAGTAGCTCCAAGAAACGGTCTTGCTAGGGTTAGAAGACCATGTATAGACAATCAGTCGCACAGCCTCGGCGGGCTAGATACAGAGGTGAAAGAATGAATGAAATGTGTAACACACCATCTTGTGTACAAGCTCCCTATGTAGATTGTTCATCTCATCCTCGGTCACTGCAGGGTTAGATGACAACCTCTCATCGCCCCGGATAAGCTGAAACACGCAAATGTCAATCAGGAACAGGTAATGTACATGCAGACGACAAAGCTAACAACCTCACCCACCTAAAAGCAATTGTCTTTGTTGGGCATAGCCTGCTCAAAGACAACACACAGTTACAGAGGCCTTAGCACTCAACGAATAAAGCAAAAAGAACAACAACTTGAAAACTCATTAAATAAGTTCATTCGGTTGGTAGACTAATAAATCTAACTGGGTTAATTGTTATTCAACCGTACATTACGGTTGAGTAACAATTAACCGAGTTAGATCAACTTGAAAACTCTTTGGAAGAAAATATTTCCCTTGGAACTTGCCACTGTACCCCAATATTTCTGCGTAAAATGAAGGCAAGACTACTTGCCTTGCTCAGGGAACAGCCAAATGTGACCCCTGTCTGAGAGCCGAGCAAGCAAGCGTGCATGCACATAACTATTTACTCACCAGCCAAGCGCGTAGCAAGGGGGGTCCTGGGGGCCCTAGGACCCCTCTAATCAAAATCAAAATCAAAATTATTTTTGTTCCCTATTTTCTAGACTTTAAAGCACTATTTTTACATTTAACTAAAAAAAATATTTCAGACCACCAGACCCCTTGTTACTCGCTCGAGGACCCCCCCCACCAATCCAAATTCCTGGCCACGCCCTACTCACCAGCTCCTTTGCACAGCGTTCCTGATCCACGGTCTTGATGATGGTGTTGAGATTGTTTCGCAGGTTCAGCTGTATAGAGCTGGCTGCCTCATTGCTAATCTTATCCTGCTTGTGTAGCCGATTCAACAGCACCTGCGTCATAGCTAGCACCAGCTGCAAATATACACACATATATATATTTTATATATATATATATATATACATAGAGAGAGAGATCGATAGTTAATATATCGATGACAGACAGACAGACAGTGGTGTCTGCAGTTACTCCATTAAAACTAGAAATCCTAAAGGCACCTTTTAATTGATAATTTACAGGTTGTTCAATAGAGGCATTAGTATAACTGTAACGCAGGAGCATTGTGAAGTGGCCTGTATATAGATGGGTGTCCATTCGATAGAGACGATATCGCAAACATGCGTTTGACTGTACACACACGTGACATGGGTGTCAGTGGTGTCTACATGCCATGTATGTCGGTAAACGCTCACTTACACGCACCTAGGCACTCACACACACACACAGACAGATGTAAGTGGTGTCTGGCACAGGTACGGAGTTAACCCCACCCATGCGTGATACCATGACTGATAGCTGCACAACACCACGCACACAACTACATACACATACATCAATCATGAACAATCCATCACTTTCCCCATTACGCGCGACCAACGTATTAGCCAGCAAGCCGTGCAGCCATGATTTGCACGATCAATATTGAAACTGCACGGCCAAAAAAATAAAAAAATAATTTTTTTTCCGGGGAGGCCCCCGTACCCTCCTCATGCTACCCCCCCCCCCTGTTAACGTCTACGATGTCGGCGGTCTTGGCTGAGACACACACAAAAATTGCACTCCCAAATATTTTTTCTGCACTCCCACAATACTCATTCCGGCTGATACCCTACGCGCGAACGGCGGCGGCGTATTAGCAGTGAGACCACGCCCCAGCTTCGTCTCAATGCAGTCGAATTCACGCGACTGACTGTCTGTCGACTGTTAGGCTGCTGATTCACACGGCAACGACGGATGACTAAGCGTTGCCAGGCTAGCATCGCAAATAGTTCCCGACAATTCACGGCAAAAGCTGCTTCTATTACGCTAAAGGCTAGGTTGAGTTGGACATGCATGCGGAATCTGTTGTGTTGAAGACTAGGGTAGGCAGCAGGGGCAAAGGCAGACAGGAGAAGGTAGACAGAGGAGGAGGTAGAGGAGAGGAGAAGGTGGTGGTGGTGGTCGGGGAGAGGATACAGGAGTACGAGGGTAGAGAGGATCAGATAATAGACAGAATTGCAAGGACCCCATAGTTTTACAGCATAGCCGTGCACACGTACTCAGCATTTACCATGTTTCTATCCTTCCACAGGTTGTTTTCCAGTGCGGTGGTTGTTTCCACATCCTGGCGTGATACCTCCGCAGCAATCTCCTCACTGAAACATGCACCAATGCAGCTTTCAGTGTGACACATGGAGCGCTACATGATGCAGGGGTAGAAATTTACTTTTGAACTAGGGAGTCCAATGGACTTCCTGCCCTCAAAAAGAGGGAGTCCGAGGCAAAATGAGGGAGTCCGCAGTCTGAAGTTCAAAATTAAAGATATTAACAATAACGCATGTGCTTATTTTAAAGATTCATGCAGTTGCACGTCTGCCAAATTTTCTTGGGATATTTGCTGAAAAAATACGGTAATTCCGTGAGGCCCTGCTCTGGAACAAACTAGTTAGTATGGCAGAATTTTCAGGGAGTCACACGGACTCCTGCATATGTCAAATCTGGCAGTCCGACAGTAAACCAGAGAGTATTTAACTCCGGACTCGCATTAATTTCGCACCCTGTGATGGGGGGTCATCGAGTCAATGGTTAATGCTAAAATGGTCTATGTCTCCCTGGGTACAAAAACTATGTTACTTTAGATATGAGTTAGAACAAGTTAATGTTCAGTTTTGGTTAGGGTTAGGACTATTAGATTGCTGCTAAGGTTGGTTTGGGTTAGGGTTAAGTTTAACATTAGGATTATGAATAGGGTTAGGGTTAACGTTAGCAATAGACATAGGGTTAGGGTTAGCATTGCGATTAGGGGAAGGGTTAGGGTTAGCATTAGGATTAGGGGTAGGGTTAGCATTAGGGTTAGGGGTAGGGTTAGGGTTAGCATTAGGGGTAGAGTTAGCATTATGATTAGGAGGAGGGTTAGGGTTAGCATTAGGATTAGGGGGAGGGTTAGCATTAGGGTTAGGGTTAGGGTTAGGGGGAGGGTTAACATTAGGGTTAGGGTTAGGGTTAGGGTTAGAGGGAGGGTTAGTGTACCTGGAGTTCAACGTGAGAAGCAGAGACATGCCGAGTGCAGCGCCACCGTCATCATGGATATCCGTTAACTCGGTGATCGGCACACTGTGGTTGCTGATGTCAGTGCTGCGCTGGTGTAACTCACTGATAACCTTCTCTCCCTGCATGTACTGTAATGACAAACATAACGTAGTACACATGTGTAGTAATGTACAATACGTACTAGCATGACTAACATTCATACACTGAACATGGCGATTGCTGTACCATCTGTGTTTCTCCATCGATGATATTTCAGAATTTTCACAAAGTTTGATGGCTAAACTTATTACCGCTTACTCCTAACTTAACAGTTTAGCATGAGCAATGCAGTTTCTGAGCTCTGGTTTCTATGTACAACAAACAGGTACATGAAAAAAACAGATTCAATTTAGATTAGATCTAACTGGGTTAACTGTTACTGAACTGTGAAGATTAGGTCAATTTTTAATTAATCTTCACGGTTGAGTGACAATTAACCCAGTTAGATGTATTAGTCTACCAACCAAATAAACTTATTTAATCAATTTAGATTAGTTAAACAAGCATCATTTGATGGCATGTGTGAATCGGAGGCCTGTGGACTATTGTCATAATCATAAATAATTGAAATAACGAGCATGAAATGTCATAACATTTAAGCATCAAGTATTTTGTTTGTAGTAGTGCCATTTTAGACTAATGACAGTCATAAGTATTTATGTATCTGACAATGATGTGTAGAGTGGCTCTGCGGGATATAGAACTGCGTACTTTATTACACGGTGTGGGTTTCACGAGCTTAACGCCTGACGCGGCTGAGCTATAAAGTTAGCGATAAACAGAAAACTTACGACAGCGTTGTCATGCGCCTGGTACACGGGAGCCGGAGGAGAGTCGTCAACCATGTGCACATATCCCTTGTTGATTGGGTGCCTCTGCACCCACAGAGGGTGTTCCACATCGCCGTGCTATCACAGAAAGAAAGCTCTAAATCGCTAACTTACCCGTCAATGTTTTCTGTACACATTTGTACAACTACACAGATATGAGGATCGAAAATCTGTATATTTCGTATATATTTCTGACCGGCTCGTTAATGAAAACGCTGCACTATGTTACTTTACACACTTCTGGGCACACAGAAGGGTGCAGGCACAGGAATCCAGCTGCAATTTCTCCTTCTGCCAGACAAGAATGCAGGCAAGTAAACATATGTGTCTCACCTTTCGTTTGTTGTACCAGTTCTTGCAGCATATAAGCGCGATGAAGATTCCGACAAGACTTCCAAAGAGGAAGCCAAGGAGAAAGCCGAGGCCAACCCACTGCAAAGATGGTTTTTTATGAATGAGAAATTTGTGTAAACTGCTCGTTACGAGTTCGGGATTATCTATTAATTAATGCACGTGCATCTCCCTAAGCAATTAACTCTCATCATTTGCATATATACTCAAATCTTGCTCCTTGAACATTTGCATAAGCGGAATCACTTTGGATATTTACATATACCAATTTCGTTATGCAGTATTAATACTGCACAATTTTACGCACTCCAATGTTACCAGTTTAAACCTATAGGCTGCTAAAACACGAGCAGCAATTATGGTGCATGCACATAGCATACCTGTGGTGTCAGTTTAAACCTCAAGTCTGCTACAGCATTTCCAGCAATAACGTACGCGCATGCACAAATCAAACTGGATGAAGGTGTGCAGACCAACCAACTGTTCTCTTTAGATATAGAATACAGTATCTGTATCTGCATCTCTGTATCTTTGTATCTGTACAGAATCTGTATTCTATGCTTTCTATCTATTCTATTCTTCTATGTATTCTATTCTATGCTATGTATTCTATTCTATGCTATGTATTCTATTCTTCTATGTATTCTATTCTATGCTGTGTATTCTATGCTTTCGCTCACCTGTTCATCTTGTCGATACAGTGGTTGCGTGATGGCGACAGTCATCGGCAGACATCGCGGAGTGATGCTCTGGTTACTTGCTATTACCATCTTCACTATCTCACGTACACTGACCAGCTGCCTCTCTCGCTCTCCCGCAACAATGCTCTCAACTTCAATTTCACAAACTCCACTGCGCTCTGCACACACACCACACAGAGAGCTGTGTAAATGCAGCCGACCTGCGGAAAATCAATGGAAGGCACTGTGGACTTGCCGTCATCCTGGCTGAGGAATACACTAAGGTAGACCGGGATGCAGCGCGCAATAATGGAGAGACACAGTCACCGTGGATGACTCACAAGCTTAGTCACCGTGGCCGGCGATTCGATTAAAGGAAGAATATCCCATAACTAATGCACGAAGGGTCGTTGTCGTAACAGGTACTACAGATATGTACCCGAGGTAGTTTTAGGTTGTTTAGTATTATGTTTATATTTTTATATGAGGTATGTTTAGGGTTAGGGTTAGGGTTAGAGTTAGGGTTAGGGTACACTTCTGTAGTACAAGTCTGGTACACTTTGTGTATACATATATGTACCTCGGGTACATATCTGTAGTACCTGTTACGACCCCTTGAGCATAACTAATCTGCAATGTTGAAGAATGCTGGAATAACGAACACATTGTGTCGTTGATAAGTATATAAGCTTACTATGGCATATTAGTTCGTCTAATTTTACTGTTGGTTACTAATAAAAATCTCATTTGAAAATTATCTGCATTTATCAGCAGTTACTGACAATTTGAATCGCAGTCGCCAAGGAGGGTGTAAGAGAGGGTTCTACAGTGCATACTTTCACATGCATGCTGGACTGTATGCATTCTCAGATCGCCACCCGCGTTATGACACATGCAACACGGAATCCTCTGTGAAACTTAATATCGCCATGTAAAACTGAGTAAACTCATACAAAATGTTTAGTTAGCCTGTTAATTGATAAACAACATTAATGACGTTTGGTTTGACTTTGTAAGTTAACCCGTGGTGCAATTGTACAAACTAATATGAATTTAGTGACATACTCGATGAAATTTTACCACACAATAAACAAAGTGCTAAATCTAGAATATATGATTCCTTATTGCAAGATATTCTATATTTTTATGCTGCTTCATCACCAGATCATACAGCCTATGCACATCATTTTCTCTGTAAGAACACTTTTTTATTAAATAACTCTGCTACATCACTAGTGACTCACACATTTCCCAGTGATACCACACTGCCCCACTGGATTGTTGTTTGACTCATTCAGCATATAAATCCATAACGCGACCAGTGAATCATCCTAAGTATATCACAGAGGTAACCAAACATTATAGCAGATATCATCAATATATCTACATATATATGTGTGTGCGCGTGAGTGTGTTACTGTACATGCCATATTAAATTGTAATTATTTTTACTAAATTTATTATTAATCTATTATCCACTCCTGATATCATCGCTTTGCACAGTATTGACATTTACGCCTCTTTTTAATACACCCAGTTTCTCTGCAGTCGTTTTACTCATCAAAGATCGGCCTTTTCCTTTCATCACTATGAATTCGACCTCTGCTGCTCGACCTCCAACTTCAACAGTTGCTGAAAATTTTCCGAGAGAAACTAATGGCATAGTGGAAACGTACGGGTACAAGTTCCGGGTAATGCATTCTGAAACACATTTGACATGATTTTTCTTTAGATTTTTTTGTCCAGGTGTCAGTGTCAACAACGTTCTGACACTGTTCCGGAGTCTATTAATGTATGTATGTAAACACCACCCACTTTGGCATCAACCACTGCGTTATTCGACTCACCACGACTTAAACTAAATGTACCGGTATATTTATCGCTGTGGCTATATATGCCCGGGCAGCCGGGCACGGTCTTCGATTTCCTAAATGCCTGGCAGTTTGACCTCTGTTTTACCTGACTCGTTCAGATGTTTCTGACCAATCTTAACCCTAACCCTAACCCTAACACTAATTAAATTTAATTAACACTAATAAAGTTAATTTAATTTAAAAAATAATTGTTGTAAATAAATCATGTAAATATTTGCGTTAATTGGGAAAAAATATTTAAATGGATAAAGGTAAAAAAATAAAAAAAATAAAAAAAATAAAAACGAAACATGGGATTCGAACCAACGCCTTTCAGACGTAACGCTCGGGCTGTACGAGCTCGGATATTCAGAGTTATTGGAATTATATATTATGGATGTGCCATGCATACATGGATGTGCGTGCATGGATGTGGATGTGGACTGCCGGGCATTTAGGAAATTGAAGACCGTGCCCGGCTGCCGGGCATATATAGCCACTGCGTATATTTATCGCTACTATCCTCGTTAGGTCTCACTCAATACCTCACCTGTTTTCTATTGTTTTTAATGTCCACTTTAAAACTAGCTTCTGGGACTTCTCATCCTTCCATTTGGTGGGTCTATTTTGTAGTTGTGTCTTACACTTAGTACTTACTAGCGAAATGTCCAGTTCTACCACACTTGTGGCATGCCGCATTTCGAGTAGGGCAGCATGAATCTCTAGCCCGTTTCTATAATTGGGTTACATAATATTGATCCACCGTTTCGTCACAGTCTTGCCTCAGCAATCGCAATACATGTCTCTCGTGGGGCACATTCAGCTTTGGCCTGTAGTACAGAGTCTAGCTTCTGTAGTGCTTGCGTGTACACATCACCTTCCTCCCCCTCCTCTGTCGATATAAAACCTACGTCATCGAGGGTTTTGTAGATATCCTGCACCTGCATGCCAGCGGAATGAAGTAGCAAGGATTTTTTACGTCCGGGGTTATCAATACCTCTGCATTCGATATAATACTCAAATGCATTCTTCCATCTCTTCCATCTGGGTCCCACACTCGTAGCATCCCCATTAGAGTTGAAGCACGGCCGTGGAGCAATATCATTGAACGACATATTTCACCAAAATCAGTCCAGAACAATGCATTTATCTACCTTGTGTTAAAACACCAATGTCTGATAAAACTCCTCTTTTATCCTAATCGCCAGATTGTAGACTTTACTACCGGATTTAACCGGACAATAAATTTGGCTCCAACCACCATTCTGCTTTATTCACAAAGACCCTGCAATCTGCTACAATGCATACGTTTCTGTTTCTGTTTCCGTTTCATGTTCGTGTTCCGGTTACGTCATAGCATAGCTCATATGGTCTATGTCCCCAGGGTACTGCCGAAACGTACCCTGGGTACAGTCCGGTATACCAGAACATACCCTGGTAACTATTTGATATGGTTAGGGTTAGGGAGTAGGCATAGGCGACTCCCTAGACTCGTTAGTGGAGTAGGCAAGGTACGGTCCGGCATATTAGATAGTACCAGGGTACGTTCCGGTATACCGGACCATACCCAGGGTACGTTCCGGCAGTACCCGGGGGGACATAGACCCTCTCAGCCATAGCATACATCAGGGTTATACACTACAGTAACCAATGGTAAGGTATGATACTACTAGTGCTACTACCAGCTACTACTAGTACGAGCACTACCATGACTATGCCCCAACTATGCACAATCCTTGTTTGAAACCTGGGTAAATATAGTATTAGTTCACATATATGTGCTTAACTAATCCGGGATGCTAAACTAGGATTGGGCTGCACAACTACTCCTGACAATTTTTCAACACGATGATATACCGTACTTAGTCTGATATGAGGACATGATAATGAATCAATGATAGACTTTGGCAAAACCACATAGGTTGATGACAGAGAAAAAATCTGTTCTAAATCTATGGTGAAACAGCATCGGTGTAATGTCAATGACCAGATTCTCTAATGTCGTAGCTCTAACAGTAGTCCCTTCGCTCCCGCAATTATAAAGGGTCGAAGCACAGCACAGAACTTGGAACGTTTCAATAGTAAAATGATTGTAAATGGCAGTGGTTGGAGGCACGGCAGCCGTATATCCAATTTACGAGGCTGGAGGTACGACAGTCCATTCGCTTTCATACAAACAACACAACAAAGACGGCGGCGGCCAATTCAGATTTCGAAATAATGCATTGGGAAATAAATTCACGATTTGAGAGTTTTGATGAGCTTAACACTCGGATTAGGTATGAAAATGTACATTATTGTAAACTTTACATCAGAATATCGCAAATAATTGCCTCAGCCCTCAAACAAACGCCAAAAGGGGTTTCAACGAACGACGGCTACCGTACCTCCAGCCACTTGTCTTGTCTTGTCTGGTAAACTACTCAGCCTACTGTACTAATACTAACAATAGTAATAGTAATCGTAATAGTACTAATACTAGTAATACTAATAGCCTGGTGTGGCACAGCAGACTACAGTCTACAGTACAGCAGCCTAGCAGGTAAATACTAAATATAGCATAAAGTAATATATAAATAAGCATTAAATGTGTAAGGTATTTACCACCAAAGTCTTAATGTTTCTGTACTCTCTTTCGCCTATTATTTCCGATAATTTCCCGTAAATGTCGTTCAAATGGCAATGCTTCTCTTGAGCGCTGATCGATTTTTATGTGTATACTTCCACTTCGAGGAAGCTGCCATGTTTAGATGCTCACTTGGCTCCCATTAATCAACAATATTATGTTTTCACGAAGCAGGCGGCCTGCGGAGGAGCGGAGTTCTAGAGTTAGAAGATAATACATTAATTATTATTAAAATTTGAATTGATGATTAAATAAAATGATTAAGGAAATTATTAATTAATATAATACTAATAATAATTAATGCAATAAAGATCACGCAGCAGCTGCCAATTCCAGCAGAATACAACCAGAGCATATAAATCATGTTGATTTATATATGCTGTGATACAACACAGCAATACAGTCTCTCTCTCTTTCTCTTATATATATATATATATATATATATATATATATATATATATATATATATATATATATATATATATATATATAGATATATATATATATATATATATATATATATATATATATATATATATATATATATATAACATTTATGTATCACACGGGCAACTACACACCAGTTTCGTTGGCGCATTCCCCATTTCCAGTATAAATGAGAACAGCATTATAATTATAAATGAGGATGCATAATACTGCAGTTTGAAAGTTCTATGAAAGCACAGTTAAATCACGCACCTTGTATATTCAAACATTGTAATTCAATGTATATATATATAAACTATGTTCTAAGTCTTAATATCGCCCAGTGACGTAGACACAAAGCTTGTGATGGATGGTAGAGATTTCGTAAGCGTGTGTGGATTTCTAGTTACTTCCCATTTAACCTATTTACACAGTATACACAACCCTAGCTAACGTTAAGTCGATATGCCACTTTGACGTGTTTGGATCGAGCAATAGCCAGACGTATCTACCCGTATAAAGCTTACAGTTTTCGCGAGATCATGAGACAGATCTTCAGATAATTACTCGGACGTATTCGGAATTACATAGATAATCCACGATAATTGTCCGTGCCATCTCATCTCGTTCGAGCCGGAATCTTTTAAGATTGGAGACAGTCTCGCGTCATATTACTCTCTTACTGGGTCGGTTACGATCCCATCCCACCACCAACTGTCCTCGTTTCCTCCCACTAGTCCGAGACACCCATTGTAATTATTGTGATAAGGGTAACGCCTAAACACGTGCATTATCGCTGGCTGCTTTTTGCGGCCATCCTTTTTTAACTCCATCCTCACGCCAATCCGCATCTGTTGTCATGGTAGCAAATGATAGATTGTCCGCGGCGCACACAACTGTGTTAATTGTCTCATTAACGGGGGAAGCTTTCTTAGCAATGTATGACCAGGTGGTGCGTGCTTACCAGCCATAGAAATACATAACGCGTCTAAATTAGTGTATGATTTCTACGGAGCCGGAAAGCGAGGGGGATAGAGTGGCGGTAATTGCACCTGTTAGTTACACAATGGGTTCGTCCGATGATGCTGTAACTGGCTTCGTTGCCGAGTCAACGGCTTGCCCCGCGAATGTGCTTGTGTACACGCGCACCCACCACTGCCGATTCTATGACGAGACACGTCTAACCGGAACGAGCGCGTTTGTTTGGCTATGCTCCGTCCGCCATTGTCACCATCGCTGTGCGGCTGTTGTTGCGTTCTACGGGAGCTCTTTGTTTACGCGGAAAGTCGGCAGTGATTGTGAGAACAACAACGAGGTAATACGGCCCGAGAGAAATAACAACCAGGGCCCATCGACGCGCGCCCACACGGACAGCACCTACTGCAATCAGGTAGGACAATAGACTACGCTAATCACGTTAATTCAACAGGTGCGAGTGTGTTTTCCTTCCACGTCCGGTTCGTTCGTCGCCTACTGCATTGACGCTATAAGAACCGACATCGTAGCATCACCACGTAAACACCACGTAGGACACCAACCAGTCAGTACGCGCATAGTATTATACGTGTATAGCTCGACATTAGCTTACTCTCAACAGACGGATCGACAGACTGCAGAGCGAGTCACTACGATAATCTACCTCAGTGTCGACGAACGAGAGCTTGTGGTATCAACCTGCGATGGTGTTGGAAACGGAGAGATCTAAGTCATTCTCTATCGACAGTCTGGTGCGCGCCAGTCACCCGGCGATGAATCTACTGGATAAGACGAACCTCATGCAGAGAGTGCAGGAATACAACGCTATGTACAGCCACCCTAATGCAGCTTACTACTACAACCCGTCCGATATGAAGCCCCAGGTAAGATATATTTTATACTGAGACTGACAGAGAGAGAGAGAGAGAGAGAGAGAGAGAGAGAGAAAAAGAGAGAGAGAGACCAAGAGAGAGAGAAAGAAAAAGAGAGAGAGAGAGAGAGAGAGGATAGAAGCAGAGAGAGAGGAGAGAAGAGAGCAGAGAGAGAGAGAGAGAGAGAGAGAGAGAGAGAGAGAGAGGGAGAGAGCGAGACAGAGAGAGGGGTAGGGAGGGAAAGAGAGATATGGGAGGGAAATAGTGAGAATAAAAAAAGCGAAAGAGAGCTAGCTATATATGTATATATAGGCGTACACGCGCGCACGTGTGCGTCCGTGCGCACGCGTGTGTATGTGCGTATGCGCGCATGTGTGTCCAAAAGAGTGAGATAGGGGGTAGACAGCGTTTATAAATGCAATCAAGACAGTTAATATCTTGCATTTCGTCGATTATTAGATAAAGCTGGATCCGCAGGAGAAGGCACCGCCATTGGAAAAGATCTACACTACGATGGGGGCCTATAGAGTTGCCGACGGTGCCGAGGACAATAAAGAGAACATCGTGTATACGCACGACTCCCGCGGCCAGCCGTACATCCTGCCTGCGGCCGTAGAGAGGGAGCTGGGGGAGGTGCCGTCACAGTGGTCGGCAAAGCGAGAGCGAGATGAGGATGAGAAGACAGAGCAACAGAAAGATATGCAGTCGACGAAGCGAGTGGCTGTGGACGACGCGAGTAATACCACGCCGCATAGAGGTAAGGCGAAGATTCGTGATGATCTAGGTCGATAGATGGCGCGGCAAGATCGTAAATGACAGAGCCGTATATAGACGCTCTATATACGGCTCTGGTAAATGAGCCCGATTTTCAACGCGCGCTTGCATCTGTTTTAACAACCGTAACTGTCGAACACGATAACGTAACCAAAATAGAACAGAGCAGACCAAAAACAGAAAGAGTCCCGTTAGTTATCTCAAATAGGAGTGGATAATTTCCTGGCCAAAGGTTTGGCCCCACTCGCCCAACCTCGCCAGGGACTTAAAACAGCCCTCTCGGATGCTGACCCGAGTCCTTGTATTGGACAATCTCTTATCGCCACTCTTGTCAAGTCTCCCTTATCGTAAATTGAAAATGATGCTAGTGCTGGGATGTCCCATGGGGATGTGGAGACACTGCGGCAGTAGTAACTCTTGCGGGTGACGTCTAGGCTTGGTGGCTTGCGACAGATGCAGTGTATAGTCGGACGACTGCAACCCCACAGAACATTATCGCGTCAGTAGCATAATTATACTGGCCCCGCGAAGACGCGCACGCATAATTAAATGTAAAGTTATACCTAAATTACGTTTATTTGCGTAAAGGGATACAAAATTCCCCAAATGAATATAATATCACCGTGTTGCCCTCGTTATTCATGAGAAGGCTAATTATTATTAATTGTTATTAATATTTATTATTCGTTTGCAGACGACCCGCAGACTCCTCCCACTCCCATCACCTCCCTGCAGACTACGACCTCCTCCTGCGCCTTCAGCGGCTCCGGTAAGAGGAAGAAACCGAGGACGTCGTTCACTAACGATCAGATCTACGAGTTGGAGAAGAAATTCCGCTTGCAGAAATACCTGGCTGCTGCTGAGAGGTCAGAGTTCGCCGACAAACTAAAGCTGACCGACACGCAGGTGAATAATAATAATAATAATAATAATAATAATATTAATAATAATGAAAAACTATGCCTGTTGATTGATGTAGCCGTACCAGATGATTCTGACATCATGGTGAAGGAAAGATACAAACTCACCAAGTATACAAAGATCTGGAGATCGAAATTAGGAGGATGTAGAATACTAAGATGAGAATTGTACCAGTGGTGGTTGGAGCCCTTGGCTCTATAAAGAATGGTTTTGAAAAGAACCTTAAGAAACTCTCTGGCCACCAAATAAATAAATAAATTAAATTAATAAATTAAGAAGTGCAGAAAATCGCACTACTGGGAACAGCACACATCTTGCGAAAAATTCTGGATTGAATCCCTATGTCCCAGGTTGGGAGTCGGACACAGTTAACCCAGAAGCCACCAGCTAATGCCATGAACCACTTTGGAAATGATAATGATAATGATAATGATAATAACAACAATAATAATAAGAATAAGAGGAATTATAATAATAATAATAATTATAACTCGTGTTTTTTTTTCTGGCTTCGGCTGGCGGATAAAGTCTCAGAAATCACGCTGCTTTCTACGTGTTAAATTTATTTTCCTTACTTTATGGCCTCCGTTGTTTACCCGCAGATAAAGACTGATAGATAACCGATAGCAATAGAAATATTCACCCACCTTTGATTAAGCGTGTCTCCTGTATTTGCTTATACGTTTATTAGTTATAAATTATAAATTATTTATTTTTTTTACTTTTAAAAATAAATACAGCTTGAAACCAAGTTAATTAATACATGCCGAAAATAATTTAACATTTACCTAATCGATTGCTAATTGTGCCCTCGTGTGGTGGAAGCAAGAACATCGTACCTAAATATATCCGAGCGCTAAAGATTGGGTATAAATAGCGTTACGCGTGATCGTGATTCTGATTGAATTATATCCGGAACATTATGTTACTGATTGGCAATTTATTGCGGAGCAAAGAGCTGCGGGCAGCTTGGTGATTAGCGGTATGAGAGATGGCTGTCAGGCGCGGCTACATGTGTGTGTGCAGCTCACTATACTTACTGATCATTGCGTGCAATGACAACTTACGGCTCGAAATATCCCCGCGCACACACCCGCACGCCCCTCGGCCGCAGCTTTTTGCTTATCAGTGTAAATGTCGGCGGTTTCGTTAAAGGTCTCTCTCGCTCTCCACGCTTTCCCACTCTCTCCACCTCTTTGTCTGTCGGTTTTTTCTTCTCTCTCTCTCTCTCTCTCTCTCTCTCTCTCTCGCTGTCTCTCTCGCTCTCTCTCTCTCTCTTTCTTTCTATATCTCTCTCTTGCTCACTCTCGTTCCTTCTATCTGTCTCTCTTTCTCTCTCTCTTTCTATCTCTCTCTCTCTCTCTCTCTCTCTCTATCTCACACACACATAACAAGAGTTTATTTTTCGTTACATAGGTGAAGACGTGGTTTCAGAACAGACGCATGAAGTGGAAGCGAATGAGTCAAGTAGAGGCAGAGAATGAGATGGGTGGCTCGCCCTACGCTGCGATGGGATACGGCCCGGGAATGCCCGGGATGCCACCACCCATGGCCGCCTACCCACCCGCCGGTGCCTACCCCCCGACCACCAACGCCATGGGAATGCAAATGGCGTACGGTTATCCACAAGGATCCCCTCAACAGCAGTCCACTTTTATGGCGCGCACGCCACCTTGCGGAGACATTCGGCAGTCGATGGTCAACCAATCGCAAATGCTGCAGGCTTCTTTCAACAATGCAAGTCCGTCTAGTGGAATATATTACCCTAGCTATCAGACGTTCGCGGCTCCTAGACCCGGGATTTCCCGGCCCTGTCCAACGTTTCCCGTATAGCAAAAATGTTGCAGGATGTATAGTTTTTACCACGAGGTGCCCACTGTTTGTTGCACCGAGTTAAAATAATTAAGGTTGTCCCGTGACAATTTTTTTCTCTTGCCGTGTACAGTTTATGCGCTGTTTTAACTAACTCGGATTTATTTTAATCTACGACCTTGCGCACGACTTTTGACAGCAATGCTGCCGATAATGAGGAAGGCAATAGAATATATTATCGGGCGATATTTCATTCTGTGTTTATGTAAACGTGTAGTAGAGCTATTACTTGTAAAGCAACTGCTTTCTCCCGTGTTCATGCTTAGTAACTCCGTCGTCTAGTAATTTCCAATAAAGTATATTTAGTTTGTTCGTAACTAGGGGTTTAAACTGCAATGTTGCGAGCGAGTGTCTCTGTAAGATAAATGATTATTATAGCCTATGCATAGAGATTGTGAGACATTTTCTGAATGTGTACATAATGTGCTTGCCTGACATCTTGTTCATTTTTTAAATAAACAAAACATATTTTATCATAATTGTATCTAGGAAATTGTTACGATAATATTGCCTCCATTCTTTAGATTAGGCATGTACATATACGCACGCGCACACACATGGGAGAAAGAGAGAGAGAGAGAGAGAGAGAGAGAGAGAGAGAGAGAGAGAGAGGGAGAGAGAGAGAGAAGACACAGCGGAAGGAGAGGAAGTGCTAACTATCTATATACGTAGATGTCAACTGCTGTTCTCTTACACACACGTGCGCGTGAGTGTGTGTATGTGTGTCTTTTGTCTCATTGTGTGTTCGTGTAAGTATGTGTGTGCGCGCGTGTGTGCGCATCGCTTGTGTGTGTGTCTGCGCGTGTGTGAGTGTGCGTGCCTGCCTTAGCGCGTGTGTATATATGTATGTGAATGTAACTTATGTAGGCGCACATGTTAATCATGACTTCTAGACGAGGTTCATTGTAATAATAACTGTTATTGCGACGTGACCGACCGCAGACAACAAGAGACAAAACATGAGATTCCGAGCTGGCCGTCAACACCACTCTCGCTCACGATGCTCCCCCCCCCACCACCACGTCGCCTCACGAATGTTTGTTGTCATTTTTTGCGTTCGTCTGTGTTTGTTTGTCTCTCGTGTGCGCCGCGTCTTTTTTCGCCGTCTAACCGCCGCGCTCTCGCAATGCAATATCTCTCGTTCGCGCGCTCTTTCTCTCGCTCTCTCTCTCTCTCTCTCTCTCTCTCTCTCTCTCTCTCTCTCTCTCTCTCTCTCTCGCTCACTCACTCCATCTCTCTCTCTCTTTTCCTCTCCCTCGTTCGCTCGCCCTTTCTCTCTCTCTCTCTCTCTCTCTCTCCCTTTCTCTTTGGCCCTTTAACTCGTCCTACCTATCCATTTCTTGCTCGCTCGCTCTCCGCTTCTCCATGCGCAAAGTCTCTTTTTCTCTCTCTCTCTTTCTCTCTCTCTCTCTCTCTCATCTCTCATCTCTCTCTCTCTCTCTCTCTCTCTCTCCTTCTCCCTCTTCTTTTCCTCTTTCCTCTCCCTCTGTATTTTATCTGCCTCTGTCTTTCGTTCTCTCCCTCTATCTATCTCTCCCCCTCTCTCTCGTTCATCTTGGAAATTGCAACCTGGCTCAATACTGATGATGATGCAGAAGATGCGGCAGCATCCGCACGTTGCGCGCACATGGGCCGCGACACACGGACAGACGGATGGATGGACGACGGGTAGATATGGCGGGTTGTTACGAGCGGGGATCTGTCGACACGAAGAGATGCGGGGAAGGCACGCATGACCGCCCGCTCTCTCGCATCGTTCATCAAGCAGACGATGACAAGCACGCTAGCATCCCCCTAGCAACGTCTCGTCTGCGCAGCTGCGCGTAACGAGTTCAGGATGTTCGCCGCTCAGTATTTTAAACGCCGCGAAGGCCTCCGCTAAAACGCCGAGGCCGTTTAAAATATTGCGAATATCATTATGCATACAAGCACTGATTAGCAGCGCGGCAATAGAGCCGGAGAGCGCGCAGGAGTAACGATGGAAATGCGCGGACATGTGGAACGAATTAAACTGATATCGCTAGCGGTTTATAATGCAGTTAAAGTGCTAGGTATCGTCAGCTGCTGATGCTGCCGCGGCACATCCTTGAAATCGCCTCTCTCTCGAAAACTTTTCGGGGCTCACTTAAGAGTTTGACGAGGGAGAAATGTGCGAGAGGAGAAAACACGCCTGCGAAGTGATACGATACGATAGGCGCGTCCGCAGAGCGCCTCACCTCATCTCTACCCACCTTATCTGTTTCAAATTATCGATGTATTATGCTTGCCGTTTGCTTTTAACGGGCTGCGGGGATGGGAACGCTAACGGTTTAACGGTGGCTGGTGAGACGAGGCTCGAATCGCCGCGTAAACAAAATGGGGGGAAATTTACGTATAGTAATGATTCGATGACGACGATGCCTGCAGATCGGGGGTGCATAGCTGTAGGTATGTATGTATGTATGTATGTATGTATGTATGTATGTATGTATGTATGTATGTATGTATGTATGTAT